TAGAATGTAGGAGGCCTTTTCTTTAGAGAGGCTTACTCTCATGGTGAGTTGTTGATCGTTATGGATTGAGTTGGTGAGGATGTTCCTCACTCAAATGGTTGACAATCTTTAGAAATCTCTATCTCCTCGGATAGTGGTTGCTCAGTTGTTGAGTATACTCAAGGCTGAGATAGATAGATAGTTTTCAGATTTTTGGATTCTAGAGAATCAAGGCATTGGGGATCAGGCAGAAAAATGGAATTATGGTTAAGGCTGAATCATGATCTTGTTGATTGGTAAAATTGACTCAAGGGTCATATGGCAATACTCCTGCTCTTATTTCTTTTGTTATGAGATCACCTACACATTGCACATAATAGGCAGAATATTGTGCCCTTTCAATGGTAAGTGTGTTAGGAGGATATTATAATCAGGCAGGTGGGAAACCTGCCAAGTAACTGAGTCCACCCTAACTAAGGAGGACCCATACATGGCAGGCCATCTAAATGCATTGATACTTGTTCTCTTTGAGCAGTCTTGTAAACAATTTTGACTATTCCCTTTGACATATCCTTTTAATTGTTGTTTTTGACATTTCTGACAGTTGTTTTTGATAAATCTGTTGACAATTGCAATGGGTTTATTTAACACACTTTGATGCCTGCTTTTTAACAATTCCAAAGGGCAACATATCCCTCCCAAAGGCAACCTTACTTCTCCATAATGTGTCCTGGGACCATATCCAAAAAGGTGTATTGCCTCTCCAATAAATATCCTGCTATCAAAGCCAGTCAACCAGTTTCAGACCTGCTGTACCAGGTCTAATCTGTTTGCATTGTGTATTATGTACCTGGGTCTTTGGGGAGGTGAGAGCCTAGTGATATCATCAGTAACCTTTTAATCCAGAGACCCAGGTAATGTCTTGGGGACCTGAGTTCATATCCCGCCAGGGCAGATAGTGCAGTTTGAATTCAATGTTTAGAAATTGTGTAATTAAGAGTCTAATGATGGCCATGAAACCGTTGCTGATTGTCAGAAAAACTCATCTGGTTCACTAATATCCTTTAGGGAAGGTAATCTGCCATCCTGATGTGGTCTGGCCAACATGTGGCTCCAGACCCACAGCAAGTTGGTTGATTCTTAACTGCTGTCTGAGCAATTAGAAATGGACAATAAATATTGGCATGGCCAAAGACGCCCACATCCCGTTAACAAATTTTAACAACTTACTAAAATAATACATAAGTGGAAACAGTTACTGTTCTAAGGATAGTTGACTCTGTGAAACACCTCCAACATTTTGGGAACAAAAAAGTGACTCTCTATCATAGAAAAAAATCTAGATCACAGTACATAGTTAATGTGAACAGTATAAAAGCATCTAAGTGAAAATTAGATAAGCATATGAGAGAGAAGGAAATAGTGATATGCTGAAGAGTCAGATGAACAACAATGAGACAAAGCTTGTACAAAACATAAAAATCACAATGATTGAACAGATTGGCCATTTAGTGACATGTTAACTGTATTATTGAGATTAGGTATATAGTTGGAGGCAATGTTCCCTCTAGCTTTTCCTGTTGCTGCTGGACTTCTGAGGGCCATGCATGGTAGCTAGTCCCAGAACCAGAAATCAACGTGTTTACATACCAATTGGCATGCATGTGATGTGCGCTGATTTTCTACAAGGCTGCAGCTTAAACGGAACACTAGCTGAAAAGCATCAAGTTCAAATTAATATAGACTTCTCATGTGCTTCTGTATTGTAACGGTTGTCATATTCACTTTTCATCTGAATTGTATGTGGTTCATTTTTACAGTTAAAGAAAAATCAGCATAAAGAAGTTCCATAATTTGTAGGAACATAGGAACAAGAGCGGGCTATTCAGCCCCTCAAGTCTGTTTCACCATTCAGCGAGATCATGGCTGATCTGTGGCCTAACTTCATATACCTGCCTTTGGTCCATATACCTTAATACTTTTGCTCAGATTTAAAATTAACAGTTGATCTAGCATCAACTGCCATTTGTAGAAGATGGTTCAAAACCTCTACCACCCTTTGTGTGTAGAAGTGCTTCCTAACATTTCTCCTGAATGGTCTGGCCCTAATTCTCAGTCTATGCCCTCTAGTTCTTGAATCTCCAACCAATGGAAATAGTTTATCATTGTCTACCCTGTCTTTCCCTGTTAATATCGTGAAGACTTCGATCAAATCATCCCTTAATCTTCTAAATTCTCGAGGAAACAGGCTTAATTTATATAATTTCTCTTCGTAATTTAACCCCGAAGTCCAGGTATCATTTTTGTAAACCTACGCTTTACTCCCTCCAAGGCCAATATTATCCTTCCTACAGTGTGGTGCCTATATCTGCTCTCTGTACTCTACGTGAGATTTAACCAAGGTTTGAACAGCTACAGAATAACATCTATGTCCTTGTACTGGAGTCATAGAATCATAGAAACCCTACAGTGTGGAAACAGGCCATTCGGCCCAACAAGTCCACACTGCCCCTCTGAAGAGCATCCTTTAGATAGTCTTTTAGATAAAAAGCCCAGCATTCCATTAGCCGTCTTGATTATGTTATGTACCTTTCTGTGGCATTTTAAAGATCTATGCAGCTGAACCCCCAAATCTTTTTGGACATCCACTTCGTACCACTGAGAAAGTACCCTGGCCATTTGTAGTTGAATATTAACTATGAAGAGAGACTTGCTGGGAGTGTTACTTAGAGAAGTGGCGGGTTACATTTTGTGAATAAATCTAGTACTAAGTAAAAGATTGGTCCCTGATTTCCTAGTTGACATCCTACCACCAAAAGTTTAACAAGTCATCCTCAATCCTCACCCAGATATTTAGAACAAGCTGCCAGAGCGTACAAGCAGCTCACCCAGGGGAAGTTTGGGTGTCATGCCTTGTAATTAGTGAACCTCAGGTATGACAGAAGATAGCGCCAAATGGATTGATCATAGCTGTCAGGTGTACTGTGAAGCCAAAAGAAGTTGTGTGGCCTATTAAAGCACTCCATTAAACATAACCAAAAGATATCCAGTAGTTCAATGGCTGCCACTGCTAGCCCGCATCTACAATCAGAGGAGTTGAATAAAGCAAATCTAAGGCTACTTTCTAAAATGGGTCATTAAACAAGCATTTGGAAGCGACACAGTATTAGGCAGCCTCTCCATGGAGGCTGAAATGTGGCCTGATTTCGGGCATCTTTGGAGAACAAGCTATTGTGCCCGAGGACTCAACCCTTGGACTTACTTTGTACCTATGGTACAAAGTAAACTGAAGCCATTTGAACTTGTCTTCAACAAATAATCAACCATCAGCTAATTCTATTCCAAGATCTTTGAAGTTAATTATCCTTTCCTCAGGATATGAGCTAGTTTCTTGACAGATGCTCAGCATTAATCTACCATCTTAACGTTAACATAAGAAACCCACTCAGATTTTGGCTGCAAGAATATTTATCAATGAATTATCTAAACTATATGTTTTTTGTCAGTCCTTCCCTTTTAAAATTTTTTCGTTAAGAGATCATGATTGTCTCTTCACAGGTCGCATAAAGAACTTTGGAAGTTAACTGTAGGCAATCAAAAAATGCTAGCGATACAAAGCAGAACTGTCAGCCAGAATTTACAATTAGGTTGATTTGCAGAAATTTTGATATCCTTCTGTTAGTCAGACTAAAGTTTCAAGTGGAGAACAATATATCAGATTATAGCTTGGTTTCTTGTTAGCCTAAAGTTTGTGCTTTGTTTTGCATAGTGCACCTCAAAAACCACAAAGAAACCTGCTTAGGATTCAGTGCCTTATAGCTATATTGTTTGACTTGAAGATATAAAAAGCCTTCAAAAGAACAAAATAAGGAATAAAGCCATTTAAGTATTTTATGTTTCAGAGATAGTAGGAACTGCAGATGCTGGAGAATCTGAGATAACAAGGTGTAGAGCTGGATGAACACAGCAGGCCAAGCAGCATCAGAGGAGCAGGAAGGCTGACGTTTCGGGCCTAGACCCTTCTTCAGAAATGGGGGAGGAGAAGGGAGTTCTGAAATAAATAGGGAGAGAGGGGGAGGCGGATAGAAGATGGATAGAGGAGAAGGGTCGAGGCCTGAAACGTCAGCCTTCCTGCTCCTCTGATGCTGCTTGGCCTGCTGTGTTCATCCAGCTCTACACCTTGTTATCTAAGTATTTTATGTGATGGTTCCCACAATGACAGACTTGTCCAGCAGGATATGTGACATTTGCACTCACAGCTTTGCTATCACTTCCAATGATAATGGAATGATAAGTGTGATTTAACTTTAGGTGCTCCCTGTCAACTAGTTCTACTCTTAAGTTTTCTTTATTTTTACACCCACTTCTCCTGTAAATGCAGCAAAGTGAGCAAGCTGCTGGCACCAAAGGAGTATCCTACTACATCTCCATGTTTAGGGAAAGCAGGAAATTGGTGTGACCCCGTGCAGAATCAGTTACCAATCAGGCTGTGGGGAGGAGGTGTGCCTGCTTATAGACTGGATAATATGATAGGTTTCTAATTGAGCCATTTTCTAAGGACCTCCCAAGAGCCCCTACAAAATTCACCCATTGGACTTCTGTCCAGTTGCACACGGGTGAGGCATGTGCACTATACACTTGAGTCATGAATTGCAATCTGATCCTATGTGTATTATGTGAATTGAACTTGCATGGTTCACTTAGCTTCCTACCTGAAGCCACAAATTTCAAAAATTTTGAAAACCATTTCCAAGATGGCAGCTGTCAGAGCTCCAGCATCGAAAGGACAGTAAGTCACCCAACATTATTTTCAGGCCACAAACCTTCCATTTGTGTCTATTCTGCACTCCCATGGGTTCAGCCCTCTTGTGACTTTGTAATTTATAAAATGAAAACCAAGATGAGGTATATAAGACAAACTATTAAATGTGAATATAATGGTGAAGTACACTGAAAATCAATTTTCTTCCATTTAGATTTATTAAAATCTTTCTGCTAATGTTTTGTTTTTCTATACACAGACAGACCTGAACCACCTGCTGGAAAACCATGCTCTTCTGATATTCGTAATTCTACCCTGACCCTGTCATGGTATGGTCCCACATACGATGGTGGGAGTGTTGTGCAATCTTACAATGTGGAAACTTGGAATTCTGTGGAGAAACAATGGACAAATCTAACTACCTGTCGCAGCACATCCTGCAATGTGTGTGATCTAAATCCTGACAAAGAATACAAATTCCGTGTTCGAGCTGTAAATGTTTACGGAACTAGTGAACCAAGTCAAGAATCTGATTTGGTCAGATTGGGAGTCAAAGAAGGTTAGCTCTGCGTAAAGGAAATAAATAAACCTACGCAAAGCTTTCTCCCTTGAGTGGTACATAGCTGGCAGATGTGTACATTTTAAATGTTTTAATGATTTTTCATTATCATCCTTTGTTTAGCCCTATTAAATAATATTGTTTCAAACCAGATTTTATTTAATATTATATTGGTCTCTAAATGCTGCACTGTGGTAAGAAACATTGTGCATGAATTCTGAGGTTAATGCTGCAGAAACATGCAAATTAGGAAAAGGCTAGGCCACTCAGCCCCTTGAGTATGCTCTACCATTCAGTAAGACCAGGGCTAACCTGATTACTCTATATTTCCACCTTCCCCAATAGTCTTTCACCTCTGTCTTATCAAGAACTTGTTTGCATGCCTCTCCCTTGAAAATATTCAAGGATTCTGCTCCTTTTTAGGAAGAGAGATCCAAAGACTCACAAATCTCTGTGAGGAACAAATTCTCCTTATCACAGTCTTAAATGCACAACAGTGACACCTAGTTCTAGATTTTAGAGAAAACATCCTTTCCCTATGTGCACATATGTTTCAATTAAGTCACCTCTTACTCTTCTAAACTGGTACAAACCTTGTATATCCAACATTTTCTTGTAAGACAACTTGCCCATTCCAAGTATTAGTCTAATAAACCTTTTCTTAATTACTTTCAATGCATTTATATGGGCTGACCAAAGCCCTGTGTAACTGAAGTATAACCTTTCTACTTTTGTATTCAGTTCCCTGTGCATAAGCATTTACTTATTATACCTGCTTACACTAACCTGTTACAATTCATTCTGTAGAGCACCCAGGTCTCTCTGCATCTCAGAGTTCTGCAACCTCATAATATTTACTAGAAATGCAGTGGCAGACATTTAAGGGGATTTTTCAGAACAAATGGAATAGATACATTCTAGTAGGAAAGAAAATGCCCAAGGAAAATCTGTGGTTATCTCAGAAGGCTAAAGATGGTATCAAATTTAAAGAAAAAAACATAAAATTATGTTGGATAGCAGGTCAGAAAATTTGGCGGAAAAAACTGCACAGGATGTCTAAAAGATTAATATAGAGGAAAATTTAGAGTATGAGGGAACGTTAGGTAGGAATATAAGAACCAATAAACAAGAGTTTCTATTGGATATTTTAAAAAGAAAGGAGTTAGAACAAAATGAGCTTTAGTCCTATAAAAAGTGAATTTGGGGAATTAATAATGGAAAATTACGAGATGGCAGTTGAACTCAACAGATATTTTGCAATGGTCTCTATTACTGAAGATACAAATACCATCCCAGAAATAGTGGCTAATCAGGAAATGGAAAAAACAGAGGAACACAAGAAAATTAGAATAATCAGGGAAATAGTACTGAGCAAAATTGTTGGAACTGCAATGTGACCAGCCCTGAGTCCAGACACAATAGAGTCCGAAGAGGGAATGGTTAGTGACATATTAATGCATTAGTTTTAATTTTCCAAGATTTCCTAGATTTAGAGAAGGTTCCATTGGATTTCCAAATACTGAATGTAACTCCTGTATTCAAAAAGGGACAGAGACTCAAAGCAGGAAACTATAGGCCTGTTAGCTTTAGATCTGTCATCAGTAACATATTGGACGCTATTATTAATGATGTTCTAGCAAGGTACTTTGATAGGCTCAAGATAACCAGGCAGGATCTACATGGTTTTGTACAAGAGAAATCAGATTGATTCAATTTATCAGCATTCATTGAGGCAGTAACATATGCTGTGGATAAAGGGGAACTGGTTAATGTGCTGCACTTGGATTTCCAAAAGTTATTAAATAAGGTGCTACATCAAAGGTTATTAGAGAAAATAAAACCTCACGGTGTAGGGGTAACATATCAGCATTTATAGAATATATACTGGAGTCTTTTTCAGGTTGGTAAGATGTAATAAGTGATGTGCCAAAGGGATCAGTGTTGGTGCCTCAACATTTTGCAATTTATATAAACGAGTTGGATGAAAATACCAAAGGTACAGTTGCTATATTTATAAAGATAGATTGGAAAAGAAGTTGTAAAGAGGACGTAAGGAGGCTACAAAGGGATATGAGAAAATGTGAAATCAAGGGGATGTGGGGAAATATGGAGTTGTCCATTTTGGCAGGAATAATTTTAAAAAATGATTACCTAAATGCTCAGGGATTGCAGGACTCTGAGATGTAGAAGGATCTGAGTGTCCTTGTGCATGAATTGCAAACACTTAGTAAGCAGGTATGGCAGGAAAATAGAAAAGCTAACTTTATTGCACAGGAAATTGCAAAAGTACAGATATTACGCTTCAGTTACACAGGACTTAAGTGAGACCTCATGATTGCCCTTATTTAAGGTTAAAATACTAGTCGTGGCTCGCCTCTTATCTCATTCAAACTGAATGTAAAATTCAGTCTTATTATGATTGCTGCTACCCTTGGGTGCCTTTACAATTAGATAATTAATTAATCCTATCCCATTGCACAATTTCCTCATTACTCACCTGGACAACATTGCTCATATGATTTTTCAAGTCTGTAGAGTAAAACTCCTCCATGATTATCACCATGTCTTTCTAACAAACTTCCATTATACAATTGTAAAATTTCTACGGTGTGGAAGCAGGCCATTCAGCCCATCAAGTCCACACTGACCCTCCAAAGAACATCCCACTCAGACTCACGCCCCTACCATATCCCTGTAACCTTGCATTTTCCACAGCTAATCCACCTGGCCTGCACATCCCTGAACACTACGGGCAATTTATCATGGCCAATCCACCTAACCTGCACAACTTTAGGTGGCAGGGTGGCTCAGTGGTTAGCACTGCTGCCTCATAGCACTAGGGACCCAGGTTAGCTTCCAATCCCAGGCTACTGTCTGTGTGGAGTTGCACACTCTCCCTGTGTCTGCATGAGTCTTCTATGGGTGCCCCAGTTTCCTCCCACAATCCAAAAATGTGCAGGTTAGGTGGATTGGCCATGGGCAATGAAGGGTTATAGGATACGTGTGGGTGGGGGTGTGTCTGCATGGGATGCTCTTTGGAGGGTCAGTGTGAACTTGATGGTCCAAATGGCCTGCTGCCACATTTAAGGCTTCTATCATGTCTTTCTTTATATTCCATCCTATCATGAGGGTTACTGTTAGGAAGCCTATACACCACTCCCACAAGTGACTTCTCAATTAATTATTTCTCATGTCTTCCCCAACTGCTTCTACATCCTGGTTTGCTGAACTTGGGTCATCCCTCTTTATTGTGCTAATACCATCATTAACTAACAGAACTGTACCTTCACTCTTTTCCTAGCTTTCTATCTTTCCTCAATGACATGGATGCTTCAATGTTCAGATCTCAATTTTTGACATCCTGCAGTCATGTCTCTGGAATGATTATCAGATCACACTTTTTTTTATTTCTAATTGTGCTGTCGCTTCATTTATTTTCATTCAAATACATTGAGCTACAGAGCCTTTAGTTTTGGCCTTTTATTCTTTTTGTAACCTGTAGTCTCATTTGTGGATTTGTTAATTCTTAGATTTGTACTCTCTAACCTTGCTGTCCTGGATTCTTTATCATTTCCCATGTCGATACTTTTTCTCTTGTCTCTACTTTTTGATTTACTATACCTTCCCAAATTTGACCCCTCCCCCTACAATGAAAGAAAATCTTGTTTCTTATTTCATAAAAATGTAAGCTGTTAATGTGAACCACATGCTTCATTCATAGTCACGATTTTACAATGAAGTTGACAGCTATAAAAGTGACCGAAATACCATTTGATGTTCAAACTGTGGACTAAAACTAAGGAAGTTCATACAAATTTAATGGAATTTTTGTTAACATTTGCATATGTTTTAAATAAAACGCTTTAACGAAAAATATTAGCTGTCAACTTTTCATACTTTGAAAGATGTTTCTTTTTTAAAAAAAGATCTTCCTCTCATATTTTGGTCTAACTTAGTTCTGTTTAATTTTAAGATCACAACAAAGATGAAGCTGATCTGTCTGATGATGGTAAATATTATTTTATATTTTGCTTATTTGCTCATTAGAATAAAATCTGTGTTATCATTTAACATCAAAAAAATTACTTTTCAGATGAAAAAGAAGGTGAGCCAGATTATCGTGATGTCAACATCAACACAAGTGAGAAGGTCACAGAATATTATGATATATTGGAAAAAATAGGAACGTGAGTGGCCCTGATAATATAACAACAGTAACCAATATCTAATAGATTCCATTAAACAGTACAAATTCATATGAAAAGTATTGTGATCTTGTCTACAGGGGAAAATTTGGACAAGTTTTCAAACTTGTTGAAAAGAAAACTAGAAAAGTTTGGGCAGGAAAGTTTTTCAAGGCTTTTTCGGCGAAGGATAAAGAAAATGTGAGGCAAGAAATCAGTATTATGAACTGTCTGCACCACCCGAAGCTTGTTCAATGTGTTGATGCCTTTGAATCAAAGTCAGACATAGTTATGGTCCTGGAAATGTGAGTAATAACTAATTCTTTTACTAGATTTTTAAGTCTGTGCATGTTGTTAAGAATGATCAATAAGTGATTGTTTAATTTTAAAAGTCGAGGGATTGACAGTTAACAGTCTTTCAGATAACTAGCTTGTTTGGAATATCAAGACAAGGCTAAACATTGTTTAAAAACCAA